GTTCACAACAATATTGTTAAAGTTAGGAATAGGAGTAGTATCTTTTCCCTTTTCTTCAATCATACGAGCTAGTCAACCGTTGACGATAAATTCACGGAGAGCACCGGAACCTTTAAGTATGAGAAACTACTTCAATAATCTTAGAAATTACTTACCTAAAAAATCTTGCACTGTGTAGAATTTGGTAAGAGACATATGGTCTCCAAATACGTTCTCAGCTAGCGTTATGTCATTGATGCCAAAACGTTCTTTCATCTTTCTAATTAGAAAACAAAGATGAACAAAAGTTTGTGATACACTCCCTTTGGTCAGACGAAAAGAGTTTGTGACACACTCCTTTTGACCAAGAGTTTGTGATACAAAGATGAACAAGAGTTCATGATGCCGTAAATACAAATATTTTGAATGTGTAACTTTTTGTTAAAGTTATAAGTGATAAACTGTTTTTTTTTTTGTAGTGTATATATAAGAAACTCTAAGCATTTGGAGAAGAAAATAAACATGTCGCATAAGACCGACGATGTCAATTACCATTTATTAGGCCTTTATCAACATCCCACCTCACAATATATCTATACTAATATATAAAATTATTTTATTTTATTTTTATATATAGAACACCATATACACACATGTACATCTCAATTACCATTTATTGTGCAGACTATTATCTTTTTTTTTTTTTTTTTTTTTTTTTTTTTTTTTTTTTGGGCAGACTATTATCTTATTTCAATAATCTGCATAACTTTTTTTTTAAAGGATCAAAAGAAGATTGAATAACATGCAAGTTCATTTTTGAAATTTTATTATCAAAAACATGGAAGTTCTTAAAATTAAAATTACAAAGCATATTAAGTTGGTAATTAATTCTGTAGTTACTTACTAAGTTGTACCATAATATTATTTTTTGTCCGTGTAATAATCAACCGTAGCTGAAATATGTTAAGACAAACAAAATTACTTGATGATGACACTTGTGGGTAGTTAATTTGGCTTCTTTAGAGACATGTCCAATAATAGAATAAGATCCGAGTTGTGTGCTCGTTAGAGAAATCGGGAGTCCTAAGGACCAGCGAGCGAGAGAGATTCAAAAATAGAAATTTCACGTAAAGAGAATTAGAGGTGCAGCGTGAAAAGAGGCAACAATTCCGTGCATACCAAGGTACCTTCACCTGCATAAATAGGTATTCACAACATCACCAAAAGATTCGTCAAGAGCAAGAGAACATAGTTTCTTCTTGCTTTTGAGAAAAAATAATTATATATTTTTATATAGGAAAGGGTTAATTTATTAATAAAAAAAATAAAAAGAAGCAGAAAAGAGATAATGCAGGGTGGTAGGCTTTTGACGGTGTTGGTGTGCCTCGCCTCCACGGTGGCGTTGGTGAGCGCCGGTGACCCTTACTTCTACTACACGTGGAACGTAACCTACGGAACCGCCGCGCCTCTCGGAATTCCTCAACAGGTGATTCTCATCAACGGACAGTTCCCTGGTCCTAACCTAAACTCAACCTCCAACAACAATGTCGTCATCAATGTCTTCAACAACCTCGACGAGCCTTTCCTCTTGACCTGGTTTGTAACTAATCTGTAAACTTATTCCTTTCGTCAGAACTTGTCATTCAATTGTTTTCGTGATTTTTGTTTTACATTAAAATTGTTGTTTTTGAAAACAAATCTTTTTTTTTGTATCAACCATTTGCATTTGGAGTTAGACTTTTGCAATCACATTTTTTAAAAGATTTTTAAAGATTTGCTTTGCATTAGATTCGGTTATATGGCCACACCTATATATAACTAGTCTTCATTGTATCTTTGAATACTTAGTCCTGACAATGGTTTTGGGTGACATGGCAGGAGTGGACTCCAGCACAGGAAGAACTCATGGCAAGATGGTGTGACTGGGACCTCATGCCCAATCCCAGCAGGCACCAACTTCACTTACCATTTCCAGCCTAAGGACCAGATCGGTAGCTACTTCTACTACCCATCCACCGCTCTCCACCGCTTCGCCGGTGGTTTCGGTGGCCTCCGTGTCAACAGCCGTCTCCTCATCCCAGTCCCATACGCTGACCCCGAAGACGACCGCACCATCCTCATCAACGACTGGTACGCCAAGAGCCACACCGCCCTCAAGAACTTCCTTGACAGCGGACGTACTCTAGGATCCCCCGACGGTGTTCTCATCAATGGGAAATCTGGTAAACTAGGCGGAAACAACGCTCCTCTCTTCACCATGAAGCCCGGAAAGACTTACAAGTACAGGATCTGCAATGTTGGATTCAAATCCACTCTTAACTTCAGGATCCAAGGACACAAGATGAAGCTTGTTGAGATGGAAGGCTCCCACGTTCTCCAGAACGACTACGACTCTCTTGATGTCCACGTTGGACAGTGCTTCGCCGTTCTAGTGACCGCTGACCAAGTGGCCAAGAACTACTACATGGTTGCATCCACTAGGTTCCTCAAGAAGGAAGTGAGCACTGTTGGTGTGATGAGCTACGAAGGAAGCAACGTTCAGGCTTCAAGCGATATCCCCAAGGCTCCCGTCGGCTGGGCTTGGTCTCTCAATCAGTTCAGATCCTTCAGATGGAACTTAACCGCCAGTGCTGCTAGACCTAACCCCCAGGGATCTTACCATTACGGAAAGATCAACATCACCCGTACCATCAAGCTCGCCAACACCAAGAATGTGGTGAATGGAAAGGTCAGGTTTGGATTCAACGGTGTATCACACGTTGACACCGAGACTCCCTTGAAGCTCGCTGAGTACTTCGGCATGTCCGAGAAGGTCTTCAAATACAACGTCATCAAGGACGAACCAGCAGCCAAGATCACAACACTAACCGTCGAGCCCAATGTCCTCAACATCACTTTCCGTACCTTTGTCGAAGTCGTCTTCGAGAACCACGAGAAAAGCATGCAATCCTTCCATTTGGACGGTTACTCCTTCTTCGCTGTCGCGTAAGCCCTTTCTCTTTTACCCATTAAACCAATTGGCAATGAATGAATTGACCTGCGTCTCTTATACAAGATATGAGATCCCTAACACTTTCTCTAAACGTTTTCACACAGTTCCGAGCCAGGAAGATGGACACCAGAGAAGAGAAACAACTACAACTTGCTCGATGCCGTTAGCAGACACACCGTGCAGGTATACCCCAAATCCTGGTCAGCCATTCTCTTGACATTCGACAATGCCGGTATGTGGAACATCAGATCAGAGAACTGGGAGAGAAGATACTTGGGCCAGCAATTGTACGTCAGTGTTCTGTCCCCTGAAAAATCACTAAGAGACGAGTACAACATCCCACTCAACACCAACCTTTGCGGCATCGTCAAGGGCTTGCCATTACCTACACCCTACACTATTTAAACTCACTTCGACAAAGTTTTTTCAATTTATATGTAAAATTCTACTTTCCAAGTGAGTGTATTACGTGATTAATTAACCCTTTCCTAATTTCATTTAAAATACTACATATACTATCATTTAACTACAGTCCAACTTGTTGTTTCTCTAATAATAGTAAAACGAAATCAACTTAAGTAACCTAAACTTCTTCCTACACAAGAGACTGTCATTGTTCAATCCAGAGAGGATAGGAGTCATCTGAAATTAATCTCAAGAAATTAAGTAGAAGGATAATTTGTTATGAGTCTCCTCGATCATATCGATGAGTAAATCTGAAAATCAGAAGAAGAAGAAGAAGAAATATTTCGAAGAAGCAACACTAGAGATAGAGAATAAGAGATTCAAATTATGTATTTCATGCACAACCGATTAATTTCACAGCTTGATTTTTGTTTCGAAGCAGAGAGGAAGCGTGATCGAAATAAAACCCTAAATCACCTGAAAGGTTAAATTCCACCGCAAGCAAGCGTGACATGTACACTAGCTCTATTCATCGTAATCTGAGAGCAAAACCGGTTGACGCTTGAGGTCAAAGTCAAACAGAGCAACCGATGAGAATGTGAAAAGAAAGTTCACGCGCGCGTGTTGTGACGATGCGATTCCAACAAGTTACGTCTTTTTTTCTTAAATGTTTTAATTTAGTAGAGATATTAATAATATAATTTTTGAACATTTATATGGATGATATAGCCAAATTTTACCATTTTATTTAGTACTTAACAGCACATGAAATTTTTTGTAAAGAAGCTAGTAGTTCTATTTAGTCGAGATTAAAAAAACAAACTAATTTACCTGAATTTCTTTTCATACTAGTACACTATTTCATATTCACAGTCTTTATTTAAATCATACATGGAAAAATATTAATACTACCACATGATTTTGGCAAAAAAAAAAAACTTTCCAAAAAGCTATACATCCAAGTAACCCTAGTCCCTTTGTCTACCAAATTGGTTTGGTGTGAGTAAAACTTATGAATTACCGAGAAGCACCTCTAGCCTAATTGCGTTCCACCTGCGACCGTCTCTTTTCACCCGAGAGTTCGACTCTGCCGCATATATGGCTTGGCTTGGCCGCCCAAATTTTATTTATTTATTACCTCGTCTCATGGTTGGCAGCAGTTTTAGAAATAGTTTCTAATTCTGGAGGAAATAAAAAAACAAAAACAAATGTTCAACAAACATGTATATCTTTTTGAGAAGCACGTGTGACGTGTTGAGCAGATAATGAATAGAGATATGCAAAGTGTGTGTGATACAACCCTTTAATCAGTATTCACCAGTGAAATTCATCAAGATCTTGCTGTTCCAGCTGAAATTAGTCTGGACTTTTATGATGTAAGACGATCCTTCTACTGTATACTAAAGAAAACTATAACGAAACAGGGATATAGACCAAAACAAATCTGAGCATTTTAATTTGTTCTACAAAGCTTTTATTCAATATTTAGAGGAATTAATTTTGGTTGTACATATTTTTCAAGGAATTTCTTTTTTTATAAACCGTTTAAAATTAGTTACCTCTTTCTGCATTGTTCCTTAGCTTGAGTTCTTGCGATCTTTACCATATAACACCTATGCGCGACACAAAGTAACGTGTAGCCAAGGACAACTTGCCGATCATGTTACTTTTTCTTTTTGGTTTTATATATCTTGTATTTTATACGGAATAATATATCCTAATTTCTTCCTGAATCCTTCAAAAACCAAAAAAAAAAAAAAAGTTTGAAACTAAATTGTCTTAATAGAGTATAAAGAAAGATCATTTAAATCGGCAAGTCATCCTTGGCTGCACACTACTTTCGTCACATTCGCGTTTCACTAGCTATACCCACTTGTATATATGAAAACCACAAACAAAAGAAAAATGTATGTGTTTTGTATGTTTCTTCTCGAAAGTAACAATAGAGAATGGAAGAGGAGATCTCTACATATTTGTTTTGGTGCTTATGAATACTAGAGGACTTACCCGCTCTGGGTTTATATAGAAGATGGGTCAGAGATAAGAGAAATAAGAGGGAATAAAATAATTGAATTGAAAAGAGAGAAAGATTTGAGATTTTATGCCCCCAAGAAGGTAGATAAGCAAAAAAATATAATAAAAAAAGATAAGGAAAGAAAAACCTAAATTAATTTGAAAGAAATATAAAACAGTTGTCATATATTAAAGAATTATATATATTCGAAAAATAAAAAGAATTAATGAAAGAGATAAGGTTCCTCCATGCTTCTCCATCCTCATAATATTAGTTTTCTTAAGCTGCAAAAACCTTTACAGCTTTAACAGATGCCATTAAGAGATATGGGGCCATATACATATCTACTCATTCATATACATATATACACATACATCTTCACATAGACACATAAATTGCTCCTGTCTATAACGAAAATTGTTATCTTATTGTTTTCTTGAATTGTGTTTAACCTTCTTTTCCTTTGACCAAAAATGTGAAATTTGATAAAACGTTTAAACAAAATCTCCTATATTTAAATGCTCTCTAAATTAATAAATCATCAAAGAACCTTAATATTAACATATTTGAAAATTTCAAGTTTCTAATTAACAAGCTCAAAAAGGTTTTGGTTAACGACCTAGGTAAATAGATTCTGTTTGAGCAAAGACAAGCATATGCAATAAAAATTTAAGACGAGGGACGTGGTTTGAGAAACAAGACGCACTTGCACAAAATCGACCTGGTTTTGGTAAGTTGATAGGAACTATAAGTTTCTAATTTTAGGACTTACTAAGAAATAACTCACGAGAGAAATAAATGTGTGTAGAAAGAGAGAAAAAGGGACTCTCGTAAACATTTTTAAAAGAAGAAAGAATCTCAACATTTACGTGTAACCCTAGTTATCCCGACAGGTACTCGAAAGGGCACTATTAAATAAACATCTATATTTTATACTCCGTATAAGTTAATTTATAAACAAGTAATCGGTAAATAGAGACCGTCAGTTATATACATATATATATATATATATATTGTTTCTTTGACAAAAATATGTGTGTATATATATACAAAAATTCACAGAAATCAGCACTTGGAATCTCAAAGTTATCGAAAAGATCAAAAAAGGACCTGCTCGAGTAGGTCACTTTTGCGTGGCCGTACATTTTTATAGTTTTTCATTATTATTAAAATATCAATTTAAGATGTCATATGTTGTTAAACAGAAGATAATTTTTTTTTTTTTTTTGATAAAATTTGAAGTGAACGCCACAAGAGATTTTACGTATGAAAGCTAAAGCAAATAAAAGATGAAGCAAATTTGTTAGTTCAACATTGTTCTTTATATTTCAAAATTTGGTTGTTGTTATAGTTCAGGTAATAAATATTTGCGGGGGTGTCTGTCTAAACAAGAAAAATGGATAGTTGAGGAAAAGAAGAAGAAAATGGGTACAATGTGATGTCAGTTGGTGGAGTGGCAGATCGATGGGATTTTCACTGCTCTTTGGCTCAAACCCCTATGTCTCATGTGCTTCCCTCTATTTGTTTTTTACATATATTTTTGTGCGAAACTGAAAATATTTTTTTCAATAAAAAACCTATACGTAATATTTCTAATCTTTAAATTTCAATTATGTGGCAGTATAGAAAACAAAGTCGTATAAATTCTATCGATAATATGCATTATATGCAAATTCTAATTCGGACGATGACACAAAAATATCGCTAGTATAAAACTAAGCTACATGTCATGGTGACATGATTTTTTATAAATGTTTGTGTAAGAAAAAAAAAGATAAACATTGTTCATAAATGATGCTTTTGAAACTTCTTCGTAATTAGACAAATACAGTCATGTATTTGTTATAGTATAAACTTTGAAAAAAACAGGGATACGAATAGTGTTATGTTAGAATAAATGTAGGAGTATGTATAGTGGGGAAAAGATGAATAGAACCATCGTTTTCGGTCATTTTGATTCTTTATACGCTTCTTTATGGAGAGAGAGAGGTCAATCAAAGAATCTGAAAGATTGATCTTATGACTTTGTCAATAGGTCCATGCAGGGACCATAAGGACCTCAACATATGAAGATGTTTTGCTAAGTATTGAATCATGGAACAAATCAACGAAATAGTCAAAACAAAAGGTCTATCTAGATAAATTATAAACTGCTAATTGCTAAATCGATATTACTTAATAATGACTAAACATGCCGAGGCAAACATTAAATTTGGATTAGAATTGCATGTTGCATGACAAAACTTATATATGTATTCTTACTATTTTCTTAATTGTTCACAAAACTATCATCTATATCTATCTTTCTATCTATCTATACAAGTGATGGTACACACACATGTCCTACCACTCTGACTCTACCGACATTATTGTCCTGAGTTTTTTTCTTCCAGAAAATCTATGTCCGAATCCCCAAATTGATATGAATACGATACTATGAGCACGATAACTCCGGAATATAATCTAAGAAAAAGAAACAAAAAAAATTCTGAAAAAGAATGTAATCCGTTCTCCAGTGTATGTATCTCTGGTTTTTTACTCGTTCTCCATTATTAATTTATGACGTTTAAGAAAGACTCACAAACAAGATGAATAAATGATACAAGGGGATTTTATGGCATATGCAGATTTTGTTTTGAAGTAATAATGTAACAAATCGACATTGAAGTACCTTCCACAATGCGCACTATGCACAAGAAAAGACTCGTCAAAAGCAAAGCAAAAGGTGGGGATGGCTCTTAAGGTCAACAGCTTAAGAATCTTGAGGAGTCTCGAATCTAGTCGGTGTATCGATACCCGCCATACAGCAAAGTCCACTGATCAAGATGAGAAGAAAAACGATTCCCTGCAAAAAGAAAAAGAAAAGGACGAGACATAATCAAAGGCTTTTACGAAATTTTAACACATTGAATTAAATTATCTTCCAGCTAGATATGACCAAGATGCTCATTAAACTTGTCCATTCTATGATGTTTATGAATCTTTCTTGAGAACGATGAATACCAAAAAAACACGAGTAAAAAGAGTAATTACCACTAGTATGCCCTCCAAAAGTGATGACTTAAATTTGCAGAGTTCATCACAGCCAGTAGCAATTTCAGGAGTACTGTTTCCTTTAGCAGTTTCAGCTAGAAACCTTTGGAGAGTTTTGTAAGATGTGTACCAATAAGGATCAGAAACATAAAGAGCTGTATATTTACTGCCGGATTGTTCTACAGAACTAACAAGTTCCAAGATGCTTTCACCTGCAGAATAGGTCAAAGAATTGCTTAATTTCCTAGTTCTCAAATGATATCTAATTGTTAGTATTATTTTGTAATGATCTTTCCACTTACGCTCTGAATGTGACTGTCCAGCTTGACTATTCGATTCAGAACCCTCGGAACAGAGCACAACCAAGTCAGTTTCTCCTTCTTTCCTTGTTTCTCTTCTAGCAAGCAAATGATCCTGTCAATTATTAATGAGTATTAGAAAGTGAAGTTAAGGGGGTGATAACACTGGGAAGGCATGGGATTAGGGAAAATAAAAACTTAAGAGCAATGAGTATTACTTTGAAAGACTGCAAGTCTGAAAGTTTCTGAATTGTTCCATCCTCAACAAAGCACGAATCTGAGAACACGATATTGCTGACTCCTACATTGTTGGGACAAGCTTCTTTAAGCCCTGAAAGTAACAAATTCTCCATCCTTTCTTCCTCTGGAGCAGCAATATATGGGAATGCCAATGAGAAGTTGGAAGCTGTAAATAGATTCTGTTGAAACAAAGACTTGGATGTTAGAGTATTGTAAACTTTATATCAAACAACTATGTCAGAGATCTGTGTTACGGATGCAATTTCGAAATTTCTTGTTGAAGAAAAGAAAATTTGCACTTACATTCAATGTGTTAACAAGGGCAGGATCTGAGTTCCTTTTTGAAGAAACATCAGAAGACAGTAACTGCAGGCGGAAGAGAACGTGAATATTAGAATTCTCAGCATAACACAGAAGATACAGAGCAAAGACGATTAATTTCCCGCAATATTAAAACATCAGTTTCTTTACAATATCACAACAAGAAACCAAAGATCCACAAGGTCATTTATGCTAATGTTAAAACAACAATAATACATCATTCAATTACCTCTCTGCCTATGAACACAAGTGCAACATCAACAGGTTGCTCAAGCTTCTTCTCTGAGCACTAAACAAAGGAGACAGTAATGACAATAAGAAAAATCATTTGACATCCAGTGAGTTGTAGAATTGAAATCATAAGATCATGAAGAAGAAACCATACCAGAAAGTTTGACCAACCTCCTTGAGTGAAAACAGAACCAACTAGATCCTTTGCAGACATGACCTGATAATTTACAGCCTCATCCAATTCACCATTAGCAGACCTGATTTTCAGAATCACATAAACCAATCAACCCAGTAATCTAAGCTAACTCACATCAGATATCACAAGTCCCAGGCTTTTTACACATTTCCATCAATCAAATTGAGAATTATAGAGAAAACAAGATGCATAACTGGAGATGCGGAGACCAGAGGAAAGCAGGAACTGTGTTCGGAGAAGCCAATCCGATTTCAAAGAGAGAGGCCACAGATAGAAACACCAATAGCGCCACCGCACCAATTTGAATCTTCTTCATCTTCGTCGTCGAAACAATTCTACCGGAGACAAAAGGAAAAAAAATCAATCGAACAATTCCTCACGCCTAACGAAACAATCAGCAAATTCAAAGATAATCACAAACCTAGAGAGATCGAGATCGCTTCCAGAAGTCGATGTATCAGTAGATTTTTATCGAACTTTCAAATCCAGAGAAAGAAGAGATTCATA